CACATGCTGTACATTTTGGGGCTGACAGGAGATAAATGGAGGTTGCAGTAACACAACACAAAATGGAGAAGATAGAAATAAGAACAGAGTAGAAAAGATGCATCAGTATTACCACAGAACAGGAAAAGCACACAACCAAAACAGCAGTAACAATAGGTAAGTCAGAAAAGAATGAAAGGCAAAAGACTAAAGATTTACTCCATATTGCTAGAGAACAGCAGCCTGCTTTCAGAAAAGCATTAGAAAACTCAAAGCAAAGCTCCTCTAACAACTCTTCTCTCCAAATGATCAATTCTCTGAACAGCCCATTTGGACTCTTCTCTTTCTCCTCCCATGCAGCCCACAGCTGACCAAGTAAAAGGGATAGGATTAGAACAAGGGATTTTTCTCCTGACTACCTTGCTAGCTTGCAACACTGTAAAAACCATACACTTTTGGGGGTTTTATTTTTGTTAAATGTCTATCTTTAAATCCAGTAAGAGTGTAACTTCAAGCACTTTAAGGCTTATTTAAAACAGTAAGAAATGAGGCACTTGTGAAGAAGAAAGCTGAATAGGCAGGATGATGAAAAAAAACCAACCAACCAGTTAGGAGACACACACCATGTTTTGTATAGTCAGTCTTCTTGGAACTCTTGCTGAAAAGATCCATGTAAGTAGAAAGTAGAAAAAGACCTCATAGAATGTAAACTGAGTTCTTTGCAGAATATATTACATTAACCTGTTACAACTATAATTTTTCTGATATACAAAATGGAACTATTTGGAACTGTTAAACTGCTAAGACTACCATATAGCAGAATTTATTTTCAGGCTAACCAGATGAAGTCTGAAGATGTCTGCTTTAAAAACCTTTCATAGCTACCAATCAAACAAATTCTGTGCTCATATTGATGTCAGTTAGTTATATGTTCTCATATAGTTTCAACAGTGGTATTGAGAGGTTTTCCATGATTTATATACGTAATATTTGTATATGTGTAACATGACATAATACTATGATTCTATTAAAATATTTGTATCCTGGAATGGTTGTGAACTCAAAGGAAGGTTAGAAAGAAAATGCAATTCATAGTACCCAAAACCACAAAACCATATTTTCAAGAGTATGAACAATAGTTTAAATACTTCATAGAGATTTTTTAATACCTAACCTTAATCTCTCTTTTGGCACAAACATTTATTTCAAGTCAGAAGACACCCAGTATGGAAAAGAACAATTTCTTTAGAGAAATTTTTTTAGAGTTTTCTTTGCAACTGAAGGTACCTTCTTCCTTCCTCATGTAATAAACTGAAGAAGCATGTCTAGATTTTTTTTGAGGAAAAGATCATCTCTTTACTAAATCTACTAAATAAAACAGAAAACAACATTTACAATACTATCCATGGTAATTAGAGTTCAGAAACTCTCAGTTTCACCACCCTGCCAGTGACTACAAAAACTGTAACAAAGCAAGAGGTAACTTTTTAAACCAAGCTTCCATATCACATGCAGGCATAAGGCACATGCCCACAATCGGGGTGAATGTCTTATGCCTCTTTCAAGTATTTTTTGTTATTCTTTACATTCTAAGTAAACTGTACATTCATCAGTAGCATCTGACAGTTTCACCCGAAATCCCATTTAAAAAAAACAATGATCAGATCTCTCTCCCTCTCAAAATAAACCCTGCTATTCACAGAACAGGGCAGAAGGAGGGAGAAATGAGTGTGCATACCTCCATATTCACTTATCAACCAGCCTGTTCCTAGCCTCCATGACAGGAGGTATTCTCCTCTTAACCTCTTTTAGGGATATATTCTCTTTGTCTTCTTCAAGGTAAGGTGAGATTTTACAAAGACTTAACTGACTCAGGCCACCAAGCTAAGGGAAGCCAACACTGCTTCCACCAGCACCACACTGAGCACTAGCAGGAAGCACACTCTCCCACCCCAAGGAGACAAATAGCTCCTTCTAATAGCTTCTCCCAAAATAAATGATTCATAGAAGAACCAGCCTCCTGCCATAGACAGATCTTAATTTGACCAAATAAATTTGCTCAAGGAGCAAAAAATACAAGACATTTTAAATTAAGAATAAAGCTTTTTGTAGTACTTGTTCTAATCAGTGCAGTTAATGAGCTTTAATTAATGTAATGCAACTTGTTTTTTAAATAAGTTTTACATAGTACAACTATATAGGTGTCCTATTCAGAGCAGGATCCATAACACTATTAGTACAAGAAAAGGTAAAGAAATGGATAACCCTTTCCATTCACTTGATTTCTATTATCATTAGTAATTATATTAATAAACCTAATCTTTTCTGAGGAATAGAAAAGAGAAATAGAAACATTTAGAGAAAACGATGAGGAATCTTCCTATTCTTTATTGTATTTCCTGTCATAAATGGATTATGGTCTCCCCACAGTTCAGCAAGCCACTGAAGACAACTCCAAATCGCTAAAAAAGGAAATGAACGGAACCTCAATTTCTCCTGTTTCCCAGTACCAAAGCAAGGTTGCTGCTGACAGCACATTGTTTGACTCCCTGAAAGCTGACCCACTCTTCCCACTGTTTCAGCAGCTATTAGTGCAAGTCACAGCAAGTGACAACCTCCCATGAAATGAGTTTTACATTCTTGTATTTCAGTTGTTTTCTTTTCCTCCCATCTGTATATACGCTCCCATATCATGCTTATCATGCTTCCACCTTTAATGAAGAATAAATAAGGAGAACCACAGAGTAAAAAAAACCCAAAATGATTGCCATGAGCTATGCCACATTTTAGCACTGGGATTTGCAGTCTCAAATATTTATTATATTAAGAAAAGTTGTCATGAGCTAGGAGCCAGTAGTTGGGTATGAGACAAGCAGGCAGCAGTATTCATACTGCTTTGTTCTCTCCCACCTTCTAGCACTACTAGAACCCTTTAACCAGGAACTAGATTTTCTTCAATGATCTAAATTGCATATAAAAATTACTATATTGCATATGCACTGAAAGATGAATTCTTACAGTGGATGCTAGAGGACTTAGACCAGTAACATTGCTGACCTACCAAAATTTAAAATTTTAACAGAAAAGGTAATATCCTGACAGCAGAATCTTTGTTCTCGGGACACTGCAGCTCTAGATAAGTATCTGTTTTCAAGATACCACTTTCAAGAGAGTGCTGCTTTAATCACAGATTGAGAAAGGATCTATCAGAACACTGAGCTTGCAGTCAACAATTATTTCATATGTGACTATAAATCAAGAAATAATTCTAGAAAATACAAAGACCAGATACTCATTTTCATTAGACAGGTAGTACTAAAGTGGATTATTTTCACTGAAGGCATTTAACCTTGAGAGTCACAATGGAAAGGCACTTTAGGTATAATATACTACAGTGCTTGACATCATATAATGAAATTGTCCAAAGCATTCAGTGACCTTGAGATGAGTATATTAGAATACAGCATTAACTACATGGAGAGTGAACTTTTGGATATTCTGGGAAAAAAAAAACAAAAATCAAAAACATTATCCCTTTTGTCAGATTTCCTTACAGTGGTCTAAAACTCACCTGGGAGGCTGGTACAAACAACAACTACTCTCTCCTGCTCTTCAGCTCTCCTCTGTGTTTGGAGAGCACTAGCAGCTCATTTTTGCTTAGACTGATGAAGAACAATCCACAAGCAGATTTAGTATGTAATGAAATCTCCCACATCTTCTATATGTGTCACCTAGGAAAAGTTTCCTTCAAGGAATGAATCTGAAGCATACTTTCAATTTTCTCTTCCTACAGAGACCACAATCTTACAGGGAAAGGCTGTGAAAGTTGAGGTTGTTCAGAAGAGAAAGCTCCAGTGAGACTTTAGACAAGCTTTTCAGGAAGAGGAGTTTGTAAGGATGGGGACAAACTTTTTAGTAGGGTCTGTAATGGGCTCCAGTGAGACTTTAGACAAGCTTTTCAGGAAGAGGAGTTTGTAAGAAGGATGGGGACATACTTTTTAGTAGGGTCTGTAATGATAGGAAAAGGGGTATGGTTTTAAGTGAAAAGAGGATAGAGTCAAATTAGATATAAGGAACAGATTTTTTACAATGAGGATGGTTAAATGCTGGAACAGGTTTTCCAGAGATGCAATAGATACCCCATATCTGGCAACATTCAAGGTCAGGTTGGATGGGGCTCTGAGTGATATAGTCTAGTTGAAGATGTCCCTCCTCATGGCAAGGGGTTTGACTAGGTGGCCTTTAAAGGTCCCTTATTCTGATTCTATGACCCCACCAAGACTTTCAAGTGCAACATTTTCTCCATCTGTTGCTAGCATGCAGCCAATGTCAGCATGTTAACCAATAATACAGATGGTTTAAAAATGGAACTATTTTATTCAGGACATAGAGAGGATGGCATAAGAAATAAATACAAAGTTCTGAAACACTATGCAAGAACAACATTTATTGTTACTCCACATATAAACACTTATCTTCACATGCACAATTTTTTCTCTATAGCATCTTACTTAGGAATCCCAGGCTTCTAAAAAATTCTGTATTCAAAAGCTCAAATGGAATATATAAAGTTTTAATATTTTCAGACAAAAACCCTAGAAAAAAATATTAAAACTAACTCACTCAGTGAAGACATAAAATCCAATTAAGACACCTGTAACTTGAGTACATGAGGAATGCAGCATCTAAGTTATCTCCCCTTTTTAAACAGTATAATTCAGGGTAAGGATGTATATATGCCAGCTGATACCACAGAGTAAGAGATGCCCCATAAATCATAAAATAGTTGCTATTTCTGTACCACTCTAAAGATATCCAGGCTTCCAAACTTAATTTTTAAGGCTCAGGCACTCATACAAACCTCCTGCTAAATTATTTAGCTCCATACAAGTCACTGCACAGGCATACGATTATTCATTACCTTTTTCCACTATCTTCCTTTAAATTAATAAAAATAATGATACAGGACCCAAAACAAACAAGTTGCTCACTAGTTTATTGAGAAAAACAAACAAACTTACACATCTGTTCCATTGCAGGCAGGCGGCTTCATTTGAGGTTAAATACTTGCTACTCAAACTTAATGAGATGATTGTATCTAAGGAAAAGAAGAAAGTAATTACTTTTATTATTTTTTAAACACATTAACTGTCACAGTGGCGACTCATGGGATGTTTCAAATTTCTCTTTAGGTGACAGCTCCAGAATCTGCACTTACATGACTCTCACCTTTTTTCAAATCTCTAATCCTCACAGCTATCAAGAAAAATCAGACATTATCACTTCGAGAGCTCCAAAGCAAAATAAAAATTAAAAACATAATAAAAAGGCTTCAGATGACTGCTAAGACAAAATTTTAAAGTAAAATTTTTGTATTTATTTTAGCACTGCTCCATTTTTTTATGCTTATGCTGAATGAAACAGAGTCTACATTACCTGCAAGATTTCAAAGGTGCTGACACCTTTCCATGCACTAAGGATTCACCTTGTTACACCTTCTCTTCTTAAGCTAAACATATTGCTTATACACTGCACTAACCACATGTATTAATCAGCATGCAATAGCACAGAATCAACACAAGGTTATCATTCCCCATGTATGAGAAAGGAGCGATTGCAAGTGGAGCATATTAGATCACGAATTTTGATTTAGCAACTAAACAGACCAAAGGAGTCTATTGCAGGACACATTTTTTGAGTTTTGCAACTTCAGTCCCAGTGATCTCATCAATATACAGACAAGAGTGCCATAGTGCAGAGGCCCCAGTACACTGAAAAAACCCCAACCAAACAAACCAAGAAAACATTTTGCCACCTCAGAAACTCCATAATCTACAAGGCATTCTCTCTTATATTGCAGTGAATGCTCTTCTTAATCAGACTGAGATGTTTAACGCAGTGAATGCTCTTCTTAATCAGACTGAAATGTTTAACACTATATATATATATATATATATATATATACACACACATGCATACATATACCCACATTTAGGGGTTTTTTTTCTTCAGGAAGATCACCTCTCAGAGGGCAAACACCCACATTTAGGGTTTTTTTTTTTCTTCAGGAAGGAGATCACCTCTCAGAGGGCAGAGTCCTGATGACTGGCTTAGTGTGCATCATGAAATGAACTATGTATCACTTCTCTTACTGATATTTTTTACTTAAAAACACTCCTATAGTGCCTCTTAAGCAATTGAAACACGTCCAGAGCTGTGCTACTGACTAATTTGACTGTTGAGACACTGTAGCTATCCCTATTACAGCAACATTTAAATAATGTATGCAGAGAGGAAGGTGTCAGCCAGGGAGACACAGACCCACCAGAAGCACGGCGCTCAGTGGAGCAGTTAGGGAACTCTCCTCAGATGTGGATTAAGCTCCTCAGGCAAAGCAAGGAAGTGAACCTGGCTCTCCCACATTCCTTGCAAGTGCCAGAGCTATCAGACTACAGGCAAAATAAAGTACAAATATGCATCTTTATGCTCGCTGATGTCTTTAAAAAATACCCTCAACCCTTCCATTTCATTTCTCCCCTCTCTAATTTGTTGAAGATGACTGTAGTTTCAAGCCCAGCCAAACATTTTGTTCAATTAAAATTGATGTTTGGGTTTTCTTGATTGCTTATTTTTGTGAGAAGAATAACAAAGAAAAAATATTTTTTTCTGGATAACAGATTATTTTATTTAGAGGCAGACACTGATTCAGCATATAGAATTACAGCAACAGGTCAGCAGAATAATTATTGAAAAGCCACTTAACCTGCTTGGAGTAAAACAGGCACAAATTCATTGATCATTGTCACATGAGAGATATATATTATTAAATATATTTTCCCATATATTTTGCAAATAATTGCAAAAAAGTATTGCTAAAATGTTTAACTGTTAAAAATCTTATTTTCAGCCTTGATTTGCAAGCTAACAAGTACACCCCAGCACTGGCTTTTATATTAAATATACAGAAATTCTGAATAGTCACTGCAAAAATTACTTTAACACATTACAGGAAAAACATATCTGTAGGACACCAGTGAATACAAACTAGAAGACAGTGTAAAGAAAAACAAAAACAACAAAAAAATTACAACAAACTTTCACACAGCTGTAATAAAAAACTAGTAACCTTCTAAACCTTCAGAGAGGGATTGTCCAACCCTACATGTTTTTAAACAACAAAGGAGGAAGGGAAAGAGCTGAGAGATAAAAAGGATGCAACTGCGCAGTAATTGCTAAAGAGAGCACACAGGTTGTGAGTTTACATAAAGATTATAGTAATATAATAATATTGCTTATGTCAACATCCACTGAAAACCAGTCTTAGACTATAGAAAATACTCATACCTCACCTTCCAATATGTTGCTCAATACAAAAAAAATCACTACGTATCCTGAATCATCATACTTGAATGAAAAGAAGGGCCTTAAAAACCAAGCTATATCCCTGTTGTTGCTTTAACAGCCCATCACATTGAGATCTATCTCATCACAAAAAACAAAACAAAACAAAACCACAACCCCAAACTTAAACCAATACTACCACGGTTAAACTATGTATCACACTAATTTGGGATACAAGTTCCTTTGCTTCAGCAAATAAACACAGAAACAAAAACACCAAACCAAACAAACACACAAAAAGCAGAAAAAGATTATGATAAAAGCTTTAGTTTTCTTTACTTTTTGACCTGAGAGCTTTAAACTCTAGATTTCATTTGAAAGCTACTGTTAGGCCACATATAAATTTTTCACTAATTGGCTGAAATGAAACAATTCCATAGTTATAAATTGACCAATTTGCAAATAGAAAAAAAAATAGATGCCAATAACACATAGAAAAAAATAGTCAAAGATATGCAGAAAACGACACACGTCTGCCATATAAGAACTCCTGCTTTATGAAGTCTGTTTTGAAAGTATACACTACAACAGGTAACATGATGTAAATTACATTAACTTATGTTGATACTACCAAAACACAAAGATCACCCCCGCTTCAGAAAAAATGGCAGTCATGATGAGTTAAACACTCTGCTCTATACAGTGCAAAATTCCCCACTAAACTATCTATAATAATCTTTTCTATATAACACGTATCATCATGTTATTTACATATGGCTGATTATTTTAGGTGTTCATTATAGGGGCAACCCCATAGCAAAACATGCTCACTTTGAAGATGAAACTCTTACAAAATTAAAAGCAAGCTGCATGACAACAGGGTTTACAAACCCCCCGTAAATATACTTTACTGTGAATGGCAATAAAATGCAGCAAGCTGTTGGGAAATACAACATATATATTCTTTAACTCAAACTTTCTCAGAGGAAAAAAACATCTCTCAGAAGTTAATGTATTTAGGCTTCTAGAAACTCAAAGAGAACAAATTCCAAGAAAAAAGGGAGAAGAAAACAGAAAGACTCAGCAGGCTCAAAGGCTACTTCCTTCTGTAATACCTAGTTTTCGAAAGCATTTGATAGGCTATTCTACTTTAGTGGACGGACAATTTTAAATAAACATATAAAATTCTGTTGCACTCCTGTATTTTCCAAGGCCCTGTTACAGTCTTAGTGATGTGTTAATACTTTTTGAAGAAGAACCCCTCCGCACTAACCCCCTGTGACACTGGCTGTTCTGCAAACACAGATTTTTGCTCTGGACATTTACTGTCTCAGTATAAAATAAGCCACAGTAAGGGGAAGCAGTAGATAGAGGGGCTGAAGCAGACAAAGTAACAAAGACATAGCAAACATTACTCTAAGCTCATCAGCTGTCTAGCCTTCTGCTGATCTATACTTTGCCTCACACATTATCAATGAGGATTCTGAACCTGTTACAATTTTGCCTTATAGAGATGTCATGAAGGAGTGGTTTGGCTGCTTAAAGAAACAATGTCAAAGGTACTGGCAAAAGCAGGGTTTCACGGATATGTGAAAATGCAACTTTACAGAGTTCAATGGCAAGGTTCACTCTACTTACTACACAGACTAAAGCATGCAAAGGCAGATCAAATAAGAAGCAATTTGGAATGATTTACACAAAAGCTGTGAGTGCAAAAGCAGTAAGACTGCAAAGGATATGGGTGGAAAGATAAGGGTGCAGAAGGAATTAGCAGCACTTAATACCTGAGCACTTTAACATTTACAAAGGTGTTTGATAGTTTTCACAACAACTATAACAATGACTTAACTATGGATTCAAAATATTAACACATACCACAATCAATTCACATACATACAGGTAAGTGATGTATACACTTATTTCTACATATGTAAAGGCTCATATGAAAAATTCCCCTCAAATTCACTACAATATGTCAGATGCCTTTGCATTTCCCAACAGGAAATGGTTACATCTTGAGGAACATGGAGATGGGGGAGAGGGGCTGACAGTCCTTGAGTACCACAAACTAAAGGGTTTGTGAGCCCTGGGAGGTGCTGGCACAGGCTGCTGCAGTCCAGGCAAGCCCAAACAGTATCACTTAGGATTGATATTTAGAGGGTCAGAAGTTGACTAACTTTGGCCATCAGTAACCTTCCTTATTGACCGTAAATCAAGTCAGTAACTAGTAAGTTTTTTTCCCCAAAGTGCAGTAACAATGGTACCGTTCCACTCGGGCTACAACCAGGTAAATGGTTTACCAAGGTTACAAGTAATAATTGCTTATCCTTTGTTTCCCACCTTTACCAAGCCAGAGCTCCTGGTATGATCAGGGAGTGCCTCGAAGCCCAACTGGTACAGTCAAGGGACACTTCACCACTCAGCTGGTTTGGTCACGGCTCACCAGGAGCTTCCAAGAAGGCAGAGTAGTCACAAGGATGGGGGGTGTTACACCACAAGAAGTAAAAGAGTTATTGTTATGTAACAGTACAAATGTTTAGAAAACTTTTATCCAAGATGCTTAGTTTAGATACTTCATTTTACTTATTCTCAATTAATTTTTACATTTGACTGCTCTGGAGAACTCCTATGGAATAATTTCCTCAACATCTGTTAAAGCTGCAAGGTACTAGCAACATAAATTACCAAAGCAGACACACATCCAACTGTACAAAAACTGTCAGCACCTTACCTGTCAGTCTTATACCTAGTGGACAGCACCCAAATTTCTTAAAGTATGCAAAATAATTTATTTTGCTTTGAACAAATTTTTTTCCTCTGCAAAACCAGTCTCCACAGTGAATAATAACTAGAATGCCCCTGCCCAGTATTTGCACAAACACAGGCTTCCTAATAGCAGCATAGTATCTTGGGGATAGTTGATAAAGTCTTCCAGACTTCAGTCCCCCCAGTATGTAAACCACTAATGTCGTCCCAAGGGTGCATGCCTGCTCTTAAAGTGAAACACTGCATTACTGGAAATAACCTTTAGAAGAAAAGTACTGTGCTCATGCTCTTGAAAAGCAAAACAGATACACATGTATACTGGGCCATAAGGACAACAACGTGTAAGGAAAGTCTGGAAAGTACATTCATTATGGGGGCTTGAAATGCTTTCTCTGCTTAGTATTATAGGTGTAGCATGACAGCTCATGCTAAATTACTGAAATTTCTCAAAGGCCCCCCCAGAAACAAGACAGGACTGCTTCTAACACATAAGCACTACAGAGAAAGGTCTCTACACTGCAAAGCCCAACACTACTAAACTTTGCAATGATAAATAGAATCACCATTAATGCAAAAGGCACTTTACCTTTCCGTACAATATACATGTTTTTATACTTTTAGTAAGCTGTATATACAGCAGACAACTTTAAGTGTATCAGACACTCTGAGAGTTCCAGTAAGCATTCTAACACAAGCACGCTAACGCCAGCAGCTGTCTCAGTGTAGATCTGGAATCTACAAGACATTTTTAAGCAAAAATTACCACGCCCCGAGCAGAAAACGAGAGCAGCACTACATGAAAGCTAAATTCTGCACTTTTCCGCGACACCATTCTTGAGCGGCTCTGCCCAGGAGGGATGGCTGGAATTTCACCGCACGCAAGCACAGACGCGGTGCTTACACCGCGGCCAAAGCCGCTGGCGGGCGCCTGTCCACCTCGTGTCCTGTTTCTCGGGGGGAAACGCTTTTTAGGAATTCCCGGGCTTTCCAGTCCCGACACCCGTCTCGGGAGCCCGTACCCGAGGCGGCCGCCGGTCCCGGGCTCGCAGCCTGAGGAGGGCGATGGGGTCCCCACGCCGGGGCTGCCTGGGCCATCTTGGGTCGGGATGGCAGCGGCCACATGGTCACCGCTCCCTCCCGGGCCCGGCTCCTGCGGCCCCGCCAGGTGGGCGCGGGCGCTCAGCCCCGGCGGGTCCCGCCGGCCCGGCCCGGCCCGCGCTCAGCGCCGCGGGGCTCGAGGCGCACCTGGCTCCGCGGCGGGCACCCTTCCTCGGCCGGGGGGCGGCGGGGTCTGCCGGGCGGCCCGGGACAGACCGAACCCCTAGGCACCAGCGACCTCCGGTCACCGGGCCGTCCGGGCCCCCTGCGGGGCCCCGCAGACAATAGAGCCGGCACCGCGGGCCTGCTTCCCGGCTTCCTGCACTGCCCCGCCGCCACACGCCCCCTCCCCGGCCTAGCGGCGCTGTCCCGCGGGCGTTCCCGGGAGGGACAAGGCGCCGCCAGGCCCGGGGCGCAGGTCCCGGGCCGCGCAAGGCACCGAGGCCGCCGAGGCCAAACGCGGCGGCGGCGGGCACGGGAGGGGGAGGGGGGGTGCGGGACCAGAGAGCCGTACCGCCCTGCCCGGCGCCCTCCCGGTGCCGGAGCAGTACTACTCACCTCCCCGGGCAGCTGCCGCGGGGGAAACCGGAGGTGGCCGCTGCCGCCGCCCGGCCGGGCCCGAAGGAGTTAAGAGGAAGGGCCGGGCGGGCCCGTCCCATTCATTACCCGGCGCTTTGTCTCCGCCGCCGCCGCGACGCTGAGCAGCTGCCCCGGCTCGGCCGCCGCGGGCGCGGGGCGCAGGCGCGGGGGGCGGCGCCACGCACGGCGCGCGACATGTCAGTGCGCCGGGCCGCAAAATGGCGGTGGCGGGGCCCTGTGCTCGGGGGGTGCGGGGTCTCTTCGCATCCGCGTCCCGGCGGCGCCTCAGGCGGGCCGGGGCCCCGCACCGGCCTTCTCAGCAAGGGTGCGGCCGCTGGTCGCCGCACTCCGCTTCGTTTCTGGGGCGGCTGAGGGCGGTGGCTCTGCGGGCGGCGGGCTGGGGCTGGGGCCGGGGTCATTCCTGCGGTGCTTCAGGCCTGGAGATGCCTCCAGGCCCTCAGCTGCCCCTTCCCTGGGAGGCCGCGGGCCGGCGCTTCGCATTCCCCGTGGGCCGGCTACGGCGAGGCTTTCCTGGGCGTCGCTGCGCTGGAGCGGGCATGGACACGCTGTTCCGAGCGCAGCCCTCGCCTTGTCAGGAATTTAGCCTCCATCGTTCGTATCCGCAATTAAACCCACCTTGATGGGTGTACGTGGCCTGACGCAGAGGGGGTTTGGTTCTGAGCGCTGTTTTGATGTACCGAGTCTGCCTCGGGAGGGGCCCTTGGCGCGGCGCTCGAGTCTCACCTGAGCAGGCATCCTGAGGATGTTCAGGGCTGAAGGGAAGGCACTGCCCCGGGTCAGGGAAAGTGCCAGCTATATGCTTACGGTCGTGTTCTGGATAAAGCTCCTCCAGTTCCAGTATTCGGTTGTAGGTCGGTGATTTTCTTCTCCGATTGCAAAACAGTAGTTGAGGTTAGCAGTGGCCGAGTGATCCAGATTTTCAGGTGAGGGTGAAGAGAGTGGTTTGTTGGTCCTTTTGATGTATATCATTTCTCCGGAGAGCTAAGTGAGATGTAATCTGTTGTGATTGTGACATTTGTTGTCAAATTCCCAGTGGCAGTCATAGATTTCACTTTCGTTGCCTTAAGTGTTGGTAGTCATAACTCGCTGCTTACCTTTGGGAGTGAAAACAGGAGAAGAACCTTAAGAGTACTGTAAACAAACTGGTTTAGAAACAATGTTAAATTTTAGATTAAGACAGTTTAGAGAGACAGTGCTTAAGAAAGTCCTTGCTTTTTGATCTGAGTTATTTTCATCAGTTAGTTTTATTTTTTTTTTCCTTTGTAATTTGAATAGATTTAGTAAGGAGTGTTTTGGTTGGAATGTATGGCAGTATATGAAGAGATCAGTTGATAGCTTTTTGATTTGAAGTAGTGTAGCTCTTCAACATTCTGCCATATTAGGTACTTAAGTACTGGTGTGATTTTGTAAATTGATTCTGTCAGTCAGCATACAGTAAATGGTCTGTTGTGGTTAATACTCCTTTGGAAATCTCGTGTCAAGTTGGTTTTGGTGTTTTTTATTTGTTTTTTTTTTTAATTAATGCATTATTCAAACTCCCAACAAAATAGTTGTTACGCTGTGTGCAGGCAGTCCTTTGTTTCTTATTACTTTTTAATATACATTTTCTTGGTAAAGTTCAATAGTATCAGTGTGTATATATATGTATATACAGACAATATTATATATATATATATAGTATATGTATTAGTTACTATAAGTGACGGAGACCAAAGTGATTTGAAGTTACTTGGACTTGCTCAGTTTTCACTGTGACAAAGTGCAGTTACATGAATAGAACTGCTTAAACATGAAGTTTGGTCTTGGCTAGATCTGCCAACTAGACACAGTAATAGAGGTGTGAGGGCTTAGTTAAGAAGTCTATAACCAGCCTGTTGGCAGGAAATTACAGTGGGAATGATAGCAACAACTGTTATTATTAGTATTGAAATACATCACCTCATAAAGCATCTTTTAGAGAACTATAAAATTGCAACAGTTGGAATGACATAGTTATGCTTATCACAATGTGGAAAGATTAAGTATCAGAGTATGTGGCTTTGTTAACTGCCTTTTTAACAGCTGTAATTTTGGAGAGTTTTACAATTCTCAGTTGAAAATTTTGCAGTAAATTAAAAAAATACTGGAAATTAATTTTGCACTTTTGCACTGCATGTTGCTCTTTCTGTAATCACCTTTCTGTATCTTTTCATTTTTTCATACATCCTATTCTGAAAATTTTCTTAAGGGTTAGGGAAGTTGAGATTAATGGAAGTTAATTATTTCTTTAAATTATCTTTTAGGTGGCTTGAGAACCAATCAGTGATTCTGTATATAATCTACAGGTGTATATCACAGATTGAGTGAAATAACTGGAATTTCTCTGTTCTTTTTGTTTTACACAAATACACCAGAAACTCAAGAAATCGGGTCTTAAAAATCTGAGCAAAGCTGGATCCGGAACGTCGTCTCACAAACAACCAAGCAATGTGATGAATAAAACACAGAGGTGGTGATCTGGTGGCAGGTAAAAGAAAGAGTAAGTAACTGCAATTCCTAGAGAAGGCTCCAGACTGCCAGCTTGTGGTGAATGTAGCAGCACTGGTGTGGTGATAGTCTAAAGATACAGATTTTCCATAAAGGCTGCAGTCTGAGGTGTAATTATGTGAACAAACATAGTCATTTAGGAAGACAGATAGTTGGGAAAATCTGCAAGGCATTCTGACAGGAAGAACCCAAAACTTCCATAATTTAACTTCAGAAGAGTGATTTTTTTTTCTTTGATTTTTCCTCCATTTATGCATTTACAATCTTGTTATCTGTTTCAGATATTGTGAATAAACATCTTTATTTGCATGGTTAACTGAACCTGACATGAATTAAAAGTGATATGATATTAAATGAATATAAAAAAGTAATTTCTCATTCTAGTCCCTGGAGCAAACCACAAGTATCTGGCTCTCCGTTATGTTTTGTAGAATAGCAGAAAGCTAGGAGACCATGTTTCCAAGGAAATTGTTCAGGTTCTCTGGAAAAAAAGCTATTATAGGTTCAGAGAAGAAAGAAACATCACTTCTGTAGCTGTAAGTAACCATCTTTCTATCATTCTTGCTACTGGGGTTGAACTTAGGCTCTAGCAGAGCCAAAGACCAGTTGGAAACTAAATTAAATTCCTATATCCTATCCTACTGTGACAGAACTTAAAGTATGCCTGCAATACACCTATTTCAATATTATGTTATTAGCCAAATGTAGTTGTTTAGTGCTGCAGGCAGTTTTGTGTGTTGTGGTCCCAGGGTCTCTCCAGTCACTGGGCTGTTCATCTTAGTCCAGTTGTATTGCTTCCTTCCTTCCATTTTTTTCCTGGTAGTAAACATAATGTTGATACTGCAGTGATAAATTGATGTAGTTCTGGCTTTCTACATTTGTATATATTTGGAAACACTAAATGTTGATAACAACAGTATAGTTAGTAGCATTGGTGCCATTACCTTGTTTTAGCAAAATTGAGCACTTAATATTTATCTCCAAACCTGCTCTGGTACACTTATTTTCACTCAAACCTTTGGTTTCACCTCTAGTAACTTCTGCATCAAAGATGCATTTTCCAATGAAGTCATGAAGACTAAAACTACATTAAGAGATAGAAGTTCTTAAATAAAGCACAAAGAATTAGAGATTTTCTTATGCACTGAGGTAATACATTTTATAAAATTATCTCCTTTCCTCCTTGTATAGACTCCAGCCTCTTCCAGGAACCTATCCAGGCAATGTCAGCTTAATGATCAAAACCTTAAAATAGAGGTCAAAAGTACTAAATTTGGATGTCCAATTTAGTATCTATCACAGGGGTATGATTTCTAAGAACTTGTAACATAGGAAGGTACTTATATTTAGCATACATTCCCATTTATTTCAGTGAGTATTTGGCTCTGCTCATCAGATCAAAGGTGTCAAGGTTAGTGCTCAGAGATCATTGACAATCACACAGTAATCACACAGTAGTTAGGAGCAAGCATTCCCTGCCAAAACCATGATGCCCTTGTGCATTTATATTAATTACTTCATTTGTTACAAACACAAATGTTTAATCTGTATCATCCTCATTCTGTAGCACATGAGAGGTGTACGTTGCTGACTTTTGACTTGGAGTTGAGCATATAATAGTATGTAGAGACAGGATTTTCTCATACTTGCCCTTTATGTGGAGTGAACATAGTGCTGGAGTATGTCATTCAGGAGTGGTCAGTTTGAAGTTCCTATTCTAGCATTTCTATTGGGTCTGTGGAGATTTTGTCTACCTGATGAAGCCATCAGTATCAGAACTGATTTACATATACATGAGTTTGGAAATTGTCTTAATTAGGCAGCATCAGGCCTTGGGTGTGGCAGTAGCAAGTCTGGGACAAACAAAGATGTGTAGGGCTCGTTGCTACTTGTTAAATGATACACACGAGTTGGGCTCCTCTGTACAGAGGAAGCTACAGGCCATGTTGGTTGCTCTTGGTGGTTCAGGCTTTTTTGTGGAATCTTACTTCTGACTTATTTTTCACTTTATTTTTCCTTCCCAGATTTTGATGTCACTTTCTTGTAGTCCTTCCCCATATAAATGAGGAGGCAAATTTTAATTCTGAATGAGCCCATCTATTTTTTCAATTTCTTCAGTGACAAACGACTAGGGATTCTAACAGTCAAACTTCCTCCATTGCAAACCATCTTAATCATCATTCTAGAGGTTTGTCCTCTAGAATGAATGAGGAAGAGATAGTAAAGTAATTAAGACTGGATTTGGGTCTCATTACTAATTTAATTTTAATTATGCTAAGGCTGAAGTATTAACTCATTGTAAACATTGGACATTGTTTCTTAGATACGTGTTTGTGAGTGAGCTAACTGGGAAAACAACTTCCCTCAGAGCTTATACCTCATCTCATATTACATTTGTAAGTTTTTAAACTGACACCAGAGGAATTGAGAATGAGAGAGTCACTCTAGGGGTTTCAACAAATAAAATAAACATTATATATAATTAAAAATTATGAAGGCAATGAGCATCTTGTTTTTGGATGAGTGCTCTGTCAAGAATCCTTTGCAGTGCAGAGGAGAGGATCAGGAAGTAGGAAAGAGAGACAGTAACAATGTGTTTGCGTAATATTGTTTACATGGGTTGTGCTATCTTGGTGAGTTACTTCATTTATCACAAACTCGGGTATCTTCTGAAATCCAAACCTGATCAGGAGAACAACCACAGAAACTAAAAGAAATTGTATTTCTCAAAAATCATTGTGTATCAGATACAGGTATGGAGCACCCTTTGTTTTCCCTTTGCTATGACTGCATTTGACAAAATTGTTCAGTTCAAATAGGTCCTTTTTTTTGTGTTACCTTTCTATAAATTCTGTCTTATGTCTGCTACTGTTTTCTCAGTGTGTCTTGTGAAAAAAGAGGTCAAGATCCAATGTAGATTGTTTAGCCACTCTGTTTTGTAATTCTTAGCTGTGCAAGTATTATATTTTTAGAACTTTTTGCGTAGCAATTACTGTTTTGTTTTTTGATTCCTATCCATTACCACTGATGTTGTCTTTACCCATAACTTGGGGTTATGGGTTAGTTATGCTGTGTGAATTGACAGACACTCCAATTCTAAATATGCAGCTGCTTTTGTAAGCTAAACTAATGATGGCTAATAACTGGGGATACTGAAGAGGAACTTCCAGATCCTGGATTTACTTTACTGCTGCTCTCTTGTGCTGGTAATCATTTTCATCTGATCATGCAGGAAGGCACTCTTGGGAGCTAAACAGAAGATTGGTGACTTGTTTATGAAGGGGTTGTTCTGATGGTAGTTATCCTGTGGCAGGAATAGCTTCCCACAAAGATCTTTGCAGGGGGAGTTACTATGCAGAACATAATAAAGGTGCCAAACTGGAAACACTAGGAATTGAATAATTGATACCAAAGAGACAATGACAGAAGAGAAGGGGAATATTATTCTCTTGATTATGTCTCTGTCTACTCATCTCTTCTGGAACCAGCAATATCATTATACATAAGAGCAACAATAGCTCTGTTCCAAGGGTTTGTTCTCGATAAAATAGTCTCAAAAATAGTAGATGGTAGTTTTGCTGTTTGGCAGACCTACAGGTCAGTACACGAGCAAGCTCTGTGCTTGTGTTGCAGCATGTTGTAATTTGGGTGAGGTTTTTTGTTTTCTATTATCGAAGCATAGTTTACATATGTTTTCATATATATCCTAATCATGAAGTTTGGTTTTGCATCTTTGCAGTGTCCAGAGGAGTGAGCTCAATCCTTACCTTCCACCATGCAACAGTTATGAGCACATATTGTAGAGAGCATCTTAAAACTGCAAAATCCTAAAGGTACATGATGTTAAAGGATTCAAGATAGTGGATGAGTAAAGCAGGCAATAGGTTTCCCTGTCAGTTGTGTATCTCAGCAAAGTGCTTGGTGTATCTCTCTGTCAGCAAGTGACAGGAAACACACCTCTTCTTGCAGTAGGTGACCCCAAGCAGTAGTTCCAACAAATGCTTAAATGGAAATGGGGTAAGGGCCTTTACATAGCAGCTTTACTACTTGAAGACCACTCTGTTAAATGATCCTCAAGCTTATCTATAGATAACATTCCATAGGACTGCTAAGCAGATGCAGCTCACAAAGGTATTTCTTTGCAAGCACCCTGATCAAGCATGACTTCTGGTGCAGCTCTGAGGATGAAAGGTCTCTGAACCTTCATCAGTACCATAAAAGGCACTGACACAGCTCCCAGTGTGTTTTTTAACTTGTGTTTTGGTGAAGACTGCTTGTTTGGATCAACATGAACTGTTCTGAAGGGTCAGACTAAAAGGTCTTAGCAATTCCTAAACAAAGAACCACTTTGGCTGTGAGAATGAGAAAGGTGGTATGTGCAGGAAGTAAGAGTTACTGAGGCTGTAAGAAACAAAAAATCTTTGATTCCATAGCAGTTGGTGAACATTATATACACCAATATTATTTCATTTTTATTCCCCCTTTTGTCATAATACAGCTAAAACTTCCAGATCAGAGGAGTGAGAAGGAAAATCCAGACAATTCTTCCTAACTACAGATCAAGGAATATATTCAGTAAACAAGTAGGAGTAAAATGGACCAACACTTTTTTTTATATATTTGAAGCCAAAAATTTGATCTTCGTTTTGGGATGGTCATCCAAGACTTTGAACCATATATCCCTCTCAGTCTAGTATGACATACCAGTCTTTCTTACAAGATATCAATGATAACTAGGAGATGGATCAGTGATAATGTGTATTTTTCTGTAAATACTAAAATTTGCAAAGGTCACCCAGAAGATGCAGAGTGATCCTGCACAACCATCCCACAGACTGAAACTACAGAGCTGAAATTTTGTGAGCACACTGCTGTAATGTGCCTATTGATAAGGTTACAGCATCTTTTCCACAGTGAATGCTGTTCTGACTTCTGTGAGCTTAGGAGCAACTTTTCTTTTGTGAACTTGCAAAGTCATGCCTGCGAGTATTC